TCCTCCTCCCCCATCTATAAAATAAGGTAATTATAGTAATCCTATAGCCCCAACCCTATGCAGTTGTTGTAAAGATTTCGCTAAGAATACTCAGCAGTGTTTTAGATCTAGGTCAATGTTCAATAAAAGTTGGTTATTATTAGCAAAGGTCATTAATGATAGTCTATGTAATTGAAGCAAGAGTAGATATTTTCTGAGATATGAGGTTGAAAACAGGTTTGAGGGAAGAACTGAATCCACAAAGAACACCAAGTCTGTTTCTGGAACATTCTGCCTATGTGCTAAGCTTACTAGGAGAGTTTTTTTTTTTTTTTCCTCTTAAATAATGTTAGGTCTTTTTGAATCTCTTCACATTCCTGAAACTTCCTTGCTTGCAACACCAACACAAACACCAGGTTGTTTAATTTTTCAGTCTTCAACTCAAAAGTGCACAACTATCCTGTACTCACCCATGAATTTAGCTTTTCATGCACAAAGACAATAGTGACTTGTCTTATTTCTATCTTCACCTCCCTGTCCCTCCCTCTTATTGGGGAGCTTATGTCTAACATTCTTTGTTTAGACATAGCTCCCAGTGCCTGCCAATTTCTTTCAGAGGACTTCATGCAAATATGGCTCCAGGTAGCCTGTCCTGATTTCCTAGAGTCTACCTGAGAGATAACACCTGCTAGGACACTCACCACCAACAACATTAAGTGAGACTCCCCCCTTTCAAGTTAGAAAAAATTATTCAACTTACATGAAATATAATAGTTAATAACAGAGTAGACACTGTCTAGTTCTTTTTTTTTTATTATAGTGCATTGTCATCCAAAATATTTATTCTCCTAAGGAACATTTTTCTTAATGTTATTTCTTTTGACACAGTTCTATCCTCCTTTAAGAAAAAAAGCTAGCTAGCATCTTGAGTAAGAACCATAACCAGTCTTTGAATTTGAGTTCCACCACCCATTCATTCATCCATACATATTTTCTGTACCACTTTGGGCAGGTTACTCACCTCCAAGTGAGGATTTGAGGCTTAATAAAAGCATCAACATTATCTCAATTCTCAGCACTTACCAGTCTACCAGAACAGGATATTTAAGTCATTTCCAAGGCTGACAGCAAAGGCAGCTTAGGGAATGTGTCGCAGAGGCAGTTCCTGCTAAGGAGAGAGAAAAGGATTGGGGAAATTAGCTGAGTAAAGGATAGGGGAATAATGATAAAATAAGATACAAAATATTTTGCAACCTATAAGAGCCGACACGTGTAAGATTGTGCGTGATTATTAACTACACAACTCTCCCACCTCCCCACCCAGCTCTCCAATCTCTGTCCCAGGTTTTCCTTCCATTAAACTTCTAACTCTACGTCTTTCTTAGAACAATCTCTTTTTTTATTCTGTGTAATTCTTATTGTATATATGTTTATTACATTATTATACTCTTGTGCTCAAAATCTCTTAGACCAGATCCTGGAGCTGAGAAGTATGCAAAGATGTTGAAAAGTGAGATTTTCTCTTGGTCTTGATGCTGAAGGATGAAATATACAGAGAAGTTCTGGCCAGGGGTGACTATAAGGGTGTCTTTCAAACATTTTTGATTGGGTCACAAGTATATTAACATAGCAACCAGAATATACACATATTACTCCAAAGCTAGTTTCCCACAATTTATGTTTTAGAAAGAAACTGCCCTTATAAATTTTATACAAACTGACATTTTTATATTTTGGATTTTAACTAGTGTTTTTCAAGATAGCAATCCTTTTATGGTTCACTAAATGGATTTAATGGATTATAATGAGCTCCTCAAAAAAGAAAGACATAGCTATGTGGATGCAGACTGGGAAAGAGTGAAGAGGCACCCTTATATTCATGTCAGTATTTTGGGCTGAAATTTGCATATCTTAGACTTTCCAAGATTCCACTTCTTGCATTATTTGTGCTCTATTATATGAAACTTATTACTGTTCATTGGTTAGGACAGTGGGTTCTGAACTTTGGGTTCAAAACTTGATACTACTACTCAAAGGCTGTGTGACTTGGAACCCTTAAGTCTCCTGTTTCCTGCCTGCCTTGTGTGTAAAATGGAGATAGTAACAGCACTTGCCTTATTCAGTTGTATTAAATAACATACACTGCCGGCACATATAGGCACTCCATAAACATTAGCTATTATAGTATTATAGGTCTTTCTCTTTTGTTTCCCCCTACTACTAATGTTCAGCTTTTTTTTTTTTTTTTTTTTTTTTTTTTTTTGCTTGCTAAATGATTCACAGGAAAAGTTATGAAGCTAGGGGTTGAAGGAGTCAAAGTGAAAGGATAACAGAAGGAAATTTAAATTTCAAGGGCAAAGGTGGACTTAAACCTTGATGGTACAGGATTTTATTTTCTTAAAGAAAGCAGTTGGTTCCTCTAGCATCAACACACTTTTGACCCTAGTTCCTGGCTACTCATCTAGATTAGATTCCAGTTTGTTATAGAAATGTCACTGAATCTTATTCTGTATTTCCCCACAAATTTGTAATTCACATTTCTTGAGGTTCCTCTCCTTGCTTGGTTACATTTTCTGCTTGTTAATATTTTGTCACATTACTTCTTTTCTGCATCCAGCAGTATGGATATATAGGAAGGATTTTTTTTTTAACTTAGAGCATTAAAAGTAAATAAAATGAGAAGAAAAGAATGTATATCAAAGTATAGTGAAACACAAAAGTATTCCATATTAAACATAATTAATGCACTTGGTATATACTTCTTGACCAAAAAATGACATTTACCTATGGTACACTCCACTACACAAAAATCACTTCACTGTCCTCTTTAACCTTGGCTAGGCCACTGGATGGGCCAAATCACCAACATTCCAAGAAGCCAGCAGGAATAATATACTGTTTGAAAGGTTATACCAAAAGAACTTTTACTTTGTGATACCTCCACTTGACTATTTCTACCTTGTGACTTCTTTATCTAAGTATTACATCAGTCTTTTTTGTCCTTCCTTAGAACATGCTTGAGGTGTCTGTCTGTCTGTCTGTCTATACACACACTTACACACTAAATTGCCCTTTCAATATTCTTAAATAAATGTATATGAGATTGCCTGTTAGCCTTGCTATTTTTTTTTTAACTAAACGTTAGTACTCCCAGTTCACTTAAAATCTCATCAAGTCCCAAATTTGCGATTGTAAGACATTTTATAAGAATGTAAATAATGACATAAAAAAATGAAAGTTTTCTTAAAATCGTTTTTTTTTCTTTTTTAAAAGATTTACTTATTTATGCATACAGAACTGGGGTACAGGCCAGAGGTGCGGAAGTGAGAGGATTCACCAGAGACAGAGTGGGGAGCAGAACAGGCAGAAAGACTGAAATATACTGCTGACGAGAACAACCGACGGGTCAGGAGAGGTCTGCCACGCCATGTGGTCCACCTGCTTCAGTGGCTGTAATAGCTTCATGGTGCTGTGCTTTAACAGTTGTGCCACAAGGGAGGGCCCAGAAAAGGTTGTTTTTCAAGGAAAAATATAAATATGCTCTTTTAAAAATAAGCAGAACCTTTAACAAGTGCTAATTTTTCTGATTGTACAACACAAAAAAACTTACTAAAATTATGTAGACTTGACAAATTTCTTACATCATTTGACAGTCATTAAAACTTTGCATATTTTATTAAGAATAAATGTAAACATATTATCAAAATCAACTCTTCAAAGCTAATTGCTAAAGTAGGTTTTCCTGAATAATACATATGTTTATTCAACCATTTTAAATGTCAAGAGTTAAAGACTAACATTCCTTGTCAGCAACTCTTCCCTACGAAAATATTATAGTATTTTCAATGACAGTGTAAACAAACCATTGTTTCAGATTTTGTTTACACTGGAATTGCCTGGCAAAATCCCAGTCCTGATCTAGCAATCTGTCATGTTTCCAAATAAGATTTCAAAAGCAATCCTTACTATCTTCACTAGGTACTGCTTAAGGTCTACTCCCAAGGTCTGCTTTCCCCATTCTTTAAAATTATTTCTCCCCTAAGACAGGTTAATTTGGAACACTATTCACCATACCAAGTCAGAAGTAATCTGCTAATATTTTGTTGTCAGTTATCTGAGATTCCGTTTTCCTTTCACTGAATGTAAGAGCCTAAGAGAGCTGCGACCCAGGTTGGGCACAGGAAGGGATCCTCACTGAGTAGGAGGTGGAGGAAAGTTTACACTACTGATGAAGTGCACATATTCTTTTAGACAAATCACTTGTTCAATTTAATAAAGGTGAACGGTAATCTGCAAATGAATTCACTGAGTCAAAAAAGGAAATCCTGTAGGAAGGGGAGAGGCTACAATCTGAAAGGAAATGGCAAGGAGATCACTGGGCCCTGGGACATGGCGGCGCAGGGCGCGCCCTCCAGAGCTGGAGCCGGAGCCGGAAGGTCAGGCGCAAGGGGCGCGGCCGGGTGGCTGTGGGCGGGGCTGA